CCTCCCCGATTCCATCCCATCCATCCACCCCATCAATCTCACCACATCATCGCTTGGAATCGCCCTCGTCAGCATCTTGTCTGTTAGGGGGAGCTGATCCTACGAGGCCACACAGAGCCTCGTTTTCCTCATAATTCTAGAACCCTTTTCAGTCTTTCCATGACCAGAATACCATCACCAATGACCAACTTCACGATCGAATCCACCGCTGTCACACTTTAAATCCCACGGGAGCGCGTGCGAGCGAGGAACCAGGAGTCGAGAGCGACAACCAGAGTCTTGATCAGACGATATTCAACCATCGTGCTGCCCAGTATCCATCTTTCGAATTTGGCCGGAATTGTGACTAGAGAGACCAACCACTGTCGTCCTTTCTGCCGCCATAATTTCGTACTGTCTAATACGGACCACACAATTTGGTCATCAAGATGCCCGGCGCCAGCGTCGCCGTCCTCCCGCCACCAGCGGCCTCGACACCTTCCTCGCGGAAGGCATCTCTCGCACCAGAACGCAAATACAAGTGCCAGTTCTGCAACAGAGCCTTCAGTCGAAGTGAGCACCGGAGTAGACACGAACGTTCACGTAGGTATCTCAAGCTAGTCAAACCTTAACTTCCAAACCATTCCTCCTCGTCACCTTGTCATCTTCTAGAAGATGTAGCACCACTTTCTTGGACCCATGGTCCCGTTGAGCACTCGAAAAAAAGGCTTTTCATTCTTCTCCTCTTCCCTTCCTCCGCTTGCACCATCTTCTTTTTCATCTCAATTTCGTTGATAAAGAGAATAAGGAAGCTCAGCTGACATGATGCAGATACAAAAGAGAGACCCTTTAAATGCATGAAGTGTCGGAGTACTTTTGTCAGACGTGACCTTCTTCTCAGACATGATCGAACTGTGCACGCCAAGGACGGAGGTGTTCCCCTACACAGCGATGGCAAACGCCGTGCGGGCGGCCCCAAGACTCGCGCGATTGGCGGTCCATCCAAGACCCAGCTGGCTTTGGACACGTCAACCCTAGAGCAGATGGAAGCGGGCAGTGATGGTCTTTTTGACGTCGAAGCTGCCGCTATGCTGGTTGCGGATTTGCATCACAAAGCCACTGCTGCTATGCGCGGCGATGACAGCACTTACGAAGACAATGCTCCCATGGCGTACTCGCCTCATGGATCAACCATTATGGAGTCGACCGTCACGTACCCTTCCGGTGCCATCGCATTGCCTCAGATGCAGTGGGAGGGCTTCATACCCCCGACCGTGGACGAGCCCAAGACTCACTCAATATCGTCTAGCGCGTCTGGGTCTTTCGAATCGCAACAATCCTTCGCTTCGAGTGCTACCATTCAGCCTCGCGCAAACCAGCTTCCTCCTATGGCGGGACATCATGGTAGTGGACTTGTGCCTGTTCTGCAGTCAATTATCCAGTCTCTCCCCGATGCAAGTGCCGGAACGCCTACTCCCCGGAGTCCTACCCTCCTTGACCCAGCTCACGCTGGCTTTCATCCACCACAGCTTACCGGGGACGAACAAAGAAACGCCATTTTGGATAACATCCGCAGCTATGATCGTGAGCACGCGATTCCTGAAGGGTTTCGCCTACCTGGATTGGGATCTTTGAACCGCTATTTGTCAACTTATTTCGGTTTATTCCATCACCATCTACCTTTTCTCCATCCAGCATCTTTTAACCCTTCTCAGGTGTCACCCCCGTTGCTTCTGGCTGTCCTTAGCATTGGCGCACTTTATGCTTTCGACCAGGACCAGGCGTACATGCTTCACATTGGTTCTAAAGTGCTCGTCAATCAATTTCTCCAAAACAAGGAAAACTTTAGCTCGCGGAAATGCCCACTTTGGACCATGCAGAGCTCGCTCCTGAACATGATATTCGCTAGCTGGAGCGGTGACCCCAAAGGCTTGGAGTGGGCTTGCTCTATCAAGAGTCTACTGGCCAACATGGTTGCTGGCAATAGGTATGAGCTGAAACTTCGCCAGGAAGCACGAGAGTCCGCAAAGCCAAGCCGCGCAGAATGGGTTGAGGATGAGGGTTGCCGTCGCACGTACTATGCTGTCTACATATTTTTCGGCCTGCTCACCTTGACGTACAACCACACCCCGGCAATTAGCTTCAATGAATTCGAGGATCTTCAACTGCCCTCTACGGAAGCTATGTGGAATATGCAAGGCACTGGTGACGGTGCGTGGTCAGATCTCGTGACCAACGCCACGGCCGTTACATTTATGGAGGCCCATGACAATCTCTTCCAAGGCGAGACTCTCCGATACAGCGCATTTGCAACTCGTGTGATGATCAACGCTCTGTTCCTAGAAGTCTGGTATCACAAGCGCAGTCCTGAGGCGCTTCAGGATGTTGTCACAGAATACAAACTCCGCCTCGCCCTTGAGACTTGGGAGAAGTCTTTGGACATGTGCGAACCAGAGACGGTCGCTGTCCCGCTGAGTGCGCCACACAAAGGCCATCCCCTGATCTTCAATGCCAAGGCGATGTATCGCAATGCTCGTGCGCGACTGGAGGTAGACTTGAAGAGTGTGCAGGAGGCTCTACGCTACCATGATCCGTATGAAGTGGCGGCTGCTATGTCTCACGCACGTGATCGCGTAAAGCGATCGAGTGAGATGATCAAGGTGATTGAAGAGTGCTACAGCTGCATTGAAACAGCTGTGGTCCAAGGAGTCCGCTGGGTTGCTCGCACCTCGCCGACAAATTGGAGTGTCGAACATCCACTGTGCGGCATGGATCTGATGATCATCCTATCCTTGTGGCTCTACCGACTGGAACATGACGAAGAGCCAGCAACTCAGGAGGAACTCGTCATGTATAACAAAGTTCGACAGCTCTTTGCCAAGGATCTCGACGAAAGCTACATGTCACAAATGAGCTCAATTGTTGCCCGTCTCTGGGGTTCGATGCTCGACGAAGTAGTTGTTTGGGGGTAAGTTTCCGTCTGATTTAAAGGCTACTTTGCCGCACAAGATGGCGATTGCATAGAGGGTGAATTGCTGACATACTTGCGACAGTATCACTCGCTTGATGGGCGAATCCTTTAAACTGCACTCCCAGGCACTGGTCGGCTATGTCGACGACCTGGAAGCTTCCTCAAATGTTTCCACCCCTTCGATGACCTCACAGGGGGCAGACGAGGACAGCGTGTATTAATTATACTGACATGATTGACACGAATTTTCCTTGCGTCATTGGAGTTGTCTTTCGATGTCCCTTTTTTCCTTTGGTAAATATCTCGGCCGCGCTTTGCGGTCGTCCTGTTCGCGTTGTAAAGTTGGGTTGGCTTCTCGACTTTGGATTTCCTTGATTGCTTGGGTGCCGTCCGGCGCGACGGTTTTGAAAAGGAGTACCGGCATGTGTTTAAACCTGGCATTTCCTTTGTCACACTTTCCTTGCGGGTCCGTTTGATATCTCGCTTCCGGCGCTTGAGACAGAGCAAGTGACCGCAAGACTGCTTTGGCCACTTCAGTTGTGCGCCGTCACTTTTCTAAACGGAAGGGGAAATCTGGCCAAGAAGCTGCTCTTGGTGGTGAAGCAGGGAATGAGATGTAGACGGATATATTAGGTGTGCGATTTCTGGGCCTCGGCGGACGAAGTAAGATTTCCAGGGCGGCAACTCAAGCCGAGGGCTGCAGTTAACGAGTCGATTGGCTGGTCCATGACGGTGACGCCGTCTTTCTTTTCTATTCTCAGTTGTTCGATTAGCTACGGCACCTATTGGCTTTTAATTCTCTACTCTCTGCATTTTTTCCCGCTGTATTTTGGCGACACTTGTTACATTTTAGCAGCTTTCATACCTGTCCGTGTCTTTTCTCGCTGTCTTCTGTCTCTCCCTTTTTCTGTTGGCTTTACTTTGCTTACTTTGGCTTCTCAGATACCTTGTTCGATATACAGATTGTTGCATCTTGCTGCTGAGTAGGGCTTGGCTGTCTCCTTGGGTCTTGTTTCTTTATTTCTTGTCCATGGTTTTCTTATTTGCGGCTGCTCTTTTGCTCGCTGGCCTCGCAACCACAAAACAGGCGCCACGTTAGACGACGGGGGCAATCGGTCGACAGGGACTGACTGCAGCCACATTGCGTGTGAAACCAAATAGTTTTGAGAGGAGGCAGGCCCGCTCGCTAGTGTATAGGTACTTGGTTATAATGAAGCAATAATTCCTTCTCTGTCATGTGCTCTTGTCCTAGCATATTTGTGAGCTTTGGGAACGCAAGGGGAGAGGATGATGCATTAATTGGGTGTAACACTTCTGCATGGAGGATGGGGTTGTTGAGGCGTGACGTGTTGCTACGGTACCGTAGTTACCACCCCTTCCTTACTTTTGTCCCACCCCACTCCGAAATTCGAATAACTTAGGTTAAGTAGTTGACGACTTGGACGTTCGGGAAGCTATCGTTGATCTTTCTCTCTCCCGCAGATTCCCGAAATCTTCAGTCTGTCTGTAGGTCCTGCAACGATACCTCTAGGTACTCAAGTACTTACCTGGTTCTCAAGCAGGTAGCTACTTAGAGGAGGGGTTGTGCCTGCCTGCAAGGTTCAAGGTACGAAAGGCTCGTCTACAGGCAGGAAGGGGGCTCTACTTGGTGCATCTTCTTCTACCCAACTCAAGTGAAGTAGTCGACGATGCGTGACTTTGAATCCACTAGCAGCGCCGGGATACCCTCTGATCCCCACGATTCTCCTTCCACTGATATTCTCTGCCCCTCTTCTCAAACCTCTGGCCCGCTGCGCTGGTCTGTATTGGCACAGTCAGTCAGCTCCGTACGTGTTCCTGTCAACCAAGAGGCCTAACGTGATACAGGGGCCTGTGCAAGGTATCGACGGCAAGCTTGATCAGCTGAAGAGGTCACCATCTCTCGGAGAACCTCTGACGAAACTCTACGGATCTCAGGAATACCTTCACTTCCGTCATGTATTGGTCGCTGGCATTTTGTCTGCCGCTTGTGCCCCGAACCGCCCTCGCGGTTTGCAGTTGCGGATACTCCATGACTGGACAGCAGCGTGGGAATGGTTCCTTGTTGTTTATGCACAAGCTAGAAACCGATTTTGCATCGATGGACGACACACTATCAGCGTCCGAGTGGATCAAACAACAGTATAACGTCTCTGCTAAAGCTGGCAGAGGGACCTATGGCAAGACATTTCTTACGGAAAATGTATTTCTACCCCCGGAACCTGAAAAAGGCATAGCCCTTCGGGTTGGTAGTCAAATCACGTCTTTGCGTGCAATATCTTCTGCCGAGGTGGACACGAGCCGAACGGATATGTTCTGGGGGTCCTACCGAGCAACAATGAAGCTTTCCCGTGTTGGTGGTACGTGTGCAGCATTTTTCTGGGTGAGTACGCACTCGCAGTGTCAGACCAGAGTGTCGGGACAGCACAGGCTGATGGCGAGGCCTTGCAGTACTTTAATGACACGCAAGAGATCGACATGGAATTTCTCTCGAGGGAGTTTGACGAAGCGAATGGGGTCTTCCCCGTGAATCTCGTAATCCACTCGAGCTTATCGGCAAAAGCTGGTTATGACGCGAGCAAGACTGGCACGTTCAAGGTGATGAACTTGACGTTTGATCCGACCAAAGATTTCCATGAATATCGTTTCGACTATTTGCCGGGCCAGGTCTATTTTTACGCCGACGGGCAAAGCCTAGGTGAGATGAAGGGCGACAACGTTCCGACAAATGGTGGGCACGTCATATTGCAGCATTGGAGCAATGGCAATCAATTGTGGTCAGGCGGGCCACCATCATCAGACGCTGTGATTCTCGTCAAGTCCGTGGAAGCTTACTTCAACTCTTCCGACGCCAAGAATCGCGAGGATTGGCACAACACGTGCAGAGCCCATGGTGCCAAGGGAACAGTATGTGCCGTACCTGAGACGGCACCAGCAGCAGCTACTGGCCAAGTAGATGACCCCTCTCATGACGATGGGAAAGCTGGTAGCCACCACGAGGGTGAAGAGAACGGTAGTCACCGAGCCCCTCGGGCAAGGTCACTCAAGACAGTACTGGTGCCGGTGGTGGCTGTATACACATTACTGATGGGGGCACCGATGCTGGGTTTAGGCTGAAGATGCGTGGTTGGTGAGCAACACCGAGACGGACCAAAGAGTCAAGGTTGCAGATATGTATGAAGAGATCAGTGGCGTAGGCAGAGACGACGTGCGGAACGGTGATTTGCTTCTCTGCATTGGATTGGCACCATGTGTTCTTTTGCACGTGAGAAAGTGATACTACCGAAGATGAACTGCTAGCAGCTGACTTGAGGGTTGCTGCTCCACCAGGGGTTTATTCGCTAAGAATGTTTGAAGTGGAGCACCTCTGAGCTAAATGCTTTTGTTATATCTTGGCCCGACTTGACTTTTTATATGTTTTTTCATATAAAGAGAAATAGATCCGTAATAAATTCACTGTTTATGCATTTTAACGTCATATTGTAATTTATACTTGTTAGCAGAAAATACAGTGCATCTATGACTTATAGGTCGCAATTGCAGTGACAACTGCGGAGCGTTCCCGTTTGCTGCTGTAACAACCTAGCGGTCAATTGCGCGCGACCGTGCGACCTATATTTCGCCCGACAACACTTATTAACAGTATCGTGAGGTCTTGCATGTAGCATACTACAATATAAACGGGTGGCCGACAATGTGTGCTGCGGTGCTGCTTGCATTGGTATATCATATCACAACCTTTATAGCTTTACGTTTTAGCTATTGTTCTGCGTCTATGGGGTTGCCCCATTTCGGAACTATGTCAGGGCTTCCGGACGCACATCAGAAGAGGTAAGGTATGTCGTTACGTAAAGGGGAAGACGGGGATAGTTGCTCTTCTTTTCTTTTCCTCAAGTTTGCAGTCAATACTAGTAACTTTACTTTCAGACGGCTTGTGAGGCTGGCTCTTGACAGTTACGCTACAAATTATGTAGTTTTTTACTAATGCGATAAAATGCAATTATATATGTCTAGGTCAGACGAATATTATTAGCTCACAGTTTTTCAGCTTTAGCTAAAGAGGTGCTTTACTAACTTATTTGATACCCGCCTTGGGCGATGAAATTTTAGTGGAGCAAAACCCTCAGGTGAGCTGCTGGGGCGCCCCTCAGTTCATATAGCAGCACGTGACTGACGCCCGCTGATCCCAATGAGTAGACTTGCAGAATCCCGGTAACTTATAAACTGCAATTGCTAGAACAAATAAATGGTTGGGGGCGGGGCGGGGCCAAGATGCGCTAATCATGTGATGGTGGAGCAGTATGCCAAGTCATATGACGAGAAGGTGCGGCAAGGCTAACGATCACGCCTTGCGATCGATGCGCGGGCTGACAACTGGAAGCATGCGGCGACTCCAGCGGCCCCAGCAAGCTTTTGCCCCAAAGGCAGTCTGGAAAAGATGGGAAGGAAAAGGGGATGACAGAGGGCGGCGGGCGACGGGCTGGTGGCTGACGAGCCCCGTGAAGCTCAAACGCAGTCCCGTGCCCTTGACGAAGCCATCATGACTTGACATACGGCCCATGGTCTGTGGTCCAGCACCGTCGTCATCATCATCATCTTATCTTGCGTGGCCCCTCGCGCATGCCACCGTTCCCGACTGCCAGGCCAGCCATCCAGATGTCGTCTACAACGGCACGGCGCGACGAGTCCGTGGGCCTTTTAGGGCCTTTAAACTGGGGCACACGAGGTCATAATCGCATAGTCAGGAACGCCTCTCCCCGCACAGTTCACCTTTTGGCAGCATTTGAGTCACGTCGGAGCGCGAAGATCGGGCAAGGGAAATCAGGGCAAAGGCTAGGCTAGGCTAGGCTAGGTAAGGCGAGGCAAGGCAAGGAAGGGGAGCAACCTGGACGACGGAAGGCGGGAACGAGGTATAAAATGAAGGCCACGCGTCCGGGAAGAATCACGACTTGCAGCACATCTCCATCATTTCATGTGTCTTTATTCCTTTGGAGTTCGAGTTGCGAGCAAACACTCAAGCAGAACGGTCCGGCTTTGATGCGATCAAGGCGAAGTGTAAGCCCCAACACCCTCACAACATGCCCGCTGCCTGACCTGAAACAAAACGCCTCCTGATGCTTAGTGATAGATATATACGAGACGTACAAACAGAACCAGGAGACCAATCATTCATCATGGCATCAACGCTCAACGTCATTCTCCGCAACGACACTGGCTCTGCACAGCTATATGCTCACATCACCGGCCGGGACGATAAAGGGGTCGTGATACTCAGCTCAGACGGCAAAACCGCAGTTCGTCCTGCAAACCCTAGCCGTACTCTTCAGCCGCTTGGCGCCGACTGCGCTATTCCCATCGGCGCTTCCGGCACAACACGAACCATTTCCATCCCTCGGATCTTTGGCGCACGCATCTGGTTTTGTAAGGAGAAGCCTTTGAACTTCTTCATCAACCCCGGACCGGCGCTGGTCGAGCCGTCCGCAACAAATCCTGCGGATCCCAACTATGACCTGGACTGGGGCTTCTGCGAATTTACGTGGAACCAGCAAGAGCTGTACGCCAACATTTCCTTTGTTGACTTTGTCGGCCTCCCAATTTCCCTACAGCTCAAGACAGGAGACGGCAAAGTCAAGACCGTGCCCGGGATGCCCTCGGATGGACTGGACAAGGTTTGCTCCGGACTCGAAGCCCAGGCCAAGATTGACGGCAAGGGCTGGGACAAGCTCGTGATACGTTCGTCCGCGGGGGCCTACCTGCGAGCTCTGAGCCCGAACTCGGGCAGTGTTTTGACCAGGGGCTTGTTCGACGGTTACTATCAGTCTTATGTCGATTCCGTCTGGAACAAGTATACGTCTGAAGACTTGACTGTCAATACTCAGTTCACATGGGGCGACGTCGTGGGCCGTGTCAAGGACGGCAAACTGACCTTTGGCTCGGTTGGCTCCTTTGGCAAACCGTCGGCACTCGACATTTTCACTTGCAGCACCGGACCGTTTGCCGCCGGCCCAGGCGTAACGGATGAAAAGCTCAACATTGGCGCGCGACTTGCCGCTGCACTGAACCGCTCCACGCTGCTGGTGGACGCGAGACAACCCGAAGGCGAAAAGATCAACATGTATTACAAGGATGCGGTTACCAACCACTACTCGAGAATCTGCCACCAAGTCAGCGTCCAGGGTCGAGGTTACGCGTTCCCCTATGATGATGTCGGGCCATCATCTGGCGAGGACCAGTCTGGTTTCGTAAACGATCCAAATCCTCAGGAACTGACCGTTTCCGTTGGCAGGCCCCTCCAAGGCTAGAATCACCCGCCAGGGAAGCTTTCCAGCTACGTGACGGCCGTGGGGGGTCGTGTTGCAGGAGTCGACAGGCAAGTTTCCTCCTGGCACGATCAACCGTCGCGCCAGAAGCCAAGTGCGAGCCTCAAGGGGCACGTGTCCATGTGCATCTGCAGAGCATTTGAGTACGAGATTGATACCTATATATACCGCCACAACTGCTGCTGCGGCTGCGGCTGCTGCTGTAGTTGAAACCGTATATATATCACGAGACATGGCTTGTTTGGGACGTTATTCTGTGTAAATGTTCTGTTCTTGATACACACATATATATATATATATATATATAACATGTTATATGATATATATAGAATTTGACGCTTTTCCTTGACAACGAACATGCGTCCGTACTGTCCAGAAACCGGCTGAAGTTGGACCCGTGAGCGGCGGCAATGTTTTTTTCCGACCCTGGTTCGGGCATCTCGATGATGGCGAAATGACAGACCGACAGCAACGGCGTTCGGTACAAGTTCCAGCCGGACAGACCATGGCGGCGTTTCGCACAAGCGATGGATCGGCCGCCTTTCCCGAAAGACTGGTAGTTTGTTGTAACCTCGAGTGGTGGTTCACTGTTGACCAGCGAGCCGACCAGCGTGCGACGGAGAGACGGGCACCAGCACCCAGCACCACAGACGTCGGTGGGCAAGCGAGTTGGCGGTGGGTCAGAGAGAGTGACGGGTACTTAAGTAAGAGCGAGAGAGGAGAGGGGGTGAGTGAGTGTGAGGGTGGGTGAGATGAGGCAGTGAGATGACATACTTGCTCCATTCCAGAGTGCTCCCAAAAAAAACATCTGTAGATACGTCACGAGATGGTTATACTAACGTCGGTCACAGAATCCTCTCTATTCACATCTGCTGCACGCCGAGTCCCAAGCTGTCAGTCAATGTCACCCCGGGTCTGCCTGCACATGCGGATGCACATGCACATGCGCATGCAAGGTCTTGCTGGGCCAGGTAAAAATACGTACCCCGGCCATGGCCCATGACAACTGACCCCGACCTGACGCTGACCATGATCCATGATCCTGATCCATGAGAGATGAGAGACAATTGGGCCCGCCGTCCCGAGCGCTCGCGATGCCACCCACCGCACCAGCAACAGACAGCCTGCAGCCGGGTTCCCGCGTTTAGCTGCCTACGGGTTACTCCGTACTTCAGTGGTCAACAATAGGCCAACAAACAGCCCATGCTGCAACCCGTCAGTCAAATTGATCAAAACGACAAATTGGTCGGCAACCAGCTCTCCGTCCTGCCGTGCTGCACAGTGCGCATACCGGAAAGCAGCCAAGGATCCTGCGATGATGCTGCCCCCTCTCCATCTCACTCCAACCCCAACGTTTGAACAGCAACGATAACGACGACTCCCGTACCGACGCCATTCACTCCCACGCCATCACTTGGACAGGTCGGCGTCGTTGCGGTCTAACCAGGTATTCGTGATGGTGCAATATCTGATGGCCCGTGCCGCCTGACAATGTCAGCATCCTCTTCCACAACCGCCATCTCGGAGCCCTCGTCAACGGCTCGCCATCAAGCGCCGTTCTGTCTGTGCGCCAGCTCCTTCTCAGCTCCATCTATCCGTACAGACGACGACGGCCTCATACCCAGGCGAATTAGTGTTCCCTAAACCTTTCCACCATGGTGTATTGCGGAAAGCCCTCCAAGGGCTGCTCCAACTGTCGAGAACGCAAGATACGGGTGAGTTCGCCACGCGATGCCACCAAACTCCGTTTCCATCTCGCCATGTTCTTACCTTCCTTCGCTCTCCCTCAATGCAGTGCGACCAGAGAACCCCTACCTGTGGCCAGTGCGAAAAGCGCCAGCAACAATGTCCTGGATATCGCAACATTGTTGATCTCATGTTTCGCGATGAGAGCCACCACGTCATCGAGCGAGCTACTGCAACTCGAAGGCGATCCAAGCAGGCGGGTCGTGCCGACGCTGTGATTCTCAACCCACCGCCGTCCCCGGCTCGCTCCTCCCCGTCTTCTTCACCATCTTCGGCTACACGAAAGCCCAAACCACTCATGCGCGACGTGTCCCCATCAAGCGAGGAAGACGACACTGCTGAGTGTGCGCCAAGGCAAACTCCTCGGGGGCGCCTTTCCGGCGCCAGTCACGTTGGCCGTCTTCAAAATCAAAACTGCGGTAGCCGAGCCTCCTCGGCCCTCACAACCACTACCAAAGCCAATGATGCCAGAATCTCATATGGCCTAACGAACTCCCTGCAGGAACGTGGCATAGCCTTCTTCTTCGCACGCTATGTTGCCACTGATCACGGCTGCTACCAAAATTACGACTTCATCTACGATGTATGGAAACCGCCGCTCGCCTACGGTACTGATTCGACCGACTGCATCACTGCTAGCATGGCGGCCGTCGGCCTCGCCAGTCTATCGAAACTCACTCGATGCCCCGAGACGTTTCGACGCGCCCGCCAGAGCTATACCGTTGCTCTTGGCCTTGCCAACTCGGCTCTGAGCAGTCCGACGGAGGCAGTCAAGGACGGCACCATGCTGGCCGTGCTTATTCTGGGCACTTATGAGTTTGTCTCTGGCCGCACGCCGCAAACCATCAGAGCTTGGCAAGATCACGTCAGCGGTGCTGCAACCCTGGCCAGTATGAGAGGAGCGGCCCAATTCCGCACCAAGGCTGGAACCAGAATGTTCGTCATGCTCTGCCACACTGTTCTGATCAGCTGTATCCGCAGCGGCTTGCCCATGCCGCAGTCCATGGTCGATCTTCGAAGAGAGTTGTGGCACTTGACTGACACTAGTGGTCCCATATGGCGAGTTGTCGATGCGTTATACAACGCACTCCAGGTTCGGCATGACATAAAGTCTGGCAACGTTTCTGGGGTCGATACCGTTGTCAAGAAACTCTGCAATGTGGAAGAGCAATTCTCGGCCCTGATTTCGACCCTCCCGCCGGGTTGGTACTATCATCAGGCAAAGCTATCCAAGCCACATCCAGCGGTTTTGGGGGATGCCTGCCACATCTATCGGGACCTGACTCAAGCAACGACCTGGAATGGCATTCGCACCATGAGGATGTTGGTACAGGAGACGATCGTCGAGGTTCTTTGCGGCAGCACCGAAGACCCAACATTGTTGCCAAGTCATCACCAGCTGCAGCTTGTCAAAGCCATGAAACTGATACAAATGCTGGGCGAAGCTTTTGTTTCTAGCGTGCCCCAGCACTTTGGCATTGTCAGTGGCAAAGACTTAGTTTGCGACAGACGGGGTCGCCACACCGTCGAGCCCATACCCACCGCCCAGCTTCCACACCGGATCCTATCGCCGTCGAGTCAAAAAGCATTGCCCGGGACCGCCTCCAGCAGCGCGGCAAACCCAAACTCTTCCCTTGCTGCCCCCGCGTCTCGGAAGCCCACCTTGTTTGACCCCACGCAGTCGAGCGGACATGAAAGAGGTGCAGAGCGATTCCTGGCTTTAGCTACGGCCAGTCATACCATCATTTGGCCGCTTTATACGCTCGGCATGTCATCTTCGACAACGCCGGACACACTTGCCTATGTTCTCGACCGCCTGGAAGCAATATACCAAGAGACCGGGTTTGAACAGGCCCGCGTGGTGTCGAATATCGTCAAGGAGCAAGTTCACACTTTGCTGTGGGATCAGATCCCGACCGCAAAACTACCTTCTCTGCCGGACGCTGCACTTCCAATGATGGTGTGAGGTGCTTGCTGCATTATTACGATGGAAAGAATGATGCGGGCACCTTAACGATATCATGCTTCTTTAACATGTACCATGGATGTACGTCTACCAACTCTTGGTGTTTCAACCCGACAACTCAGCGAGGGCATCATCATTTGGCGCCGCAACTTGCAGCGAGACATTTACCTGGTAGCACCGTCGAATAGAGCGGCTCTATCTGCTCGATTCCTTGCATGTCTTGAGGCCTGTTTTGTCTCTCTCTCTCTCTCTCTCTCTCTCTCTCTCCTTTTTTAAAAAATTCATTTATTTATTTATTGATTATTTCCAATGTTTGCATTCGTGAGGAAAAGCACCAACAAGAACGGCGCAGTGTCTGATCCTCCGCTTGGCCAAGCCATCAGTCGGCGAGAACACAAAGTATCTACGCACAAAGGTGAAGGAAGCTCGGATACATGACTAGACACCCGGTCTGAAACCATGGTATCCTGTAGACTCTGCCGTCGCTCTTCCGGGTAGAGCGCTGTCAGATGGCCAACTCAGCAGCGGGAGACAGTGGACAAGTAGACAATAATGAAGGAGATTACGTTCCATTGCGATGCGGGCTATTGTCTCATGTGAGATGCGTGACTTACTGTCTCCAAATCAGACTATTCCATCAAGTTGATTATGCACACAGCAATTGACTCAAGGGGGTACAGATCCCACTGGCTGCACTCTGGGCGTGCTTTGTGTTGCTGTTGAGCGCATACACTCTGCTACCAGCTATCAAAGTTACCAAACCCCCCATTCCCCTTGGTCTTTTTGCGTACCGGCTCTTCCCAGCCGCCCGTCGTTGAATCGATAGCTCCCGCCCCATCACTAGCCATGCTCGAAACAGCACTCTTGTTCAGGTATTTGCCCACACTGTCCTTTGCCTCGGCCGAAACGACGGTCCCGTCTCCTCGTATCCGCTTCCCCGTCCAGGTGGTCCTATCGTCATCGGTGCCACCTCTGCGACGAACCTCTTCCCGCTCGCGTTCCAGCCGCTCCTGCTCCTTCCTCTGCGTCTGGAACTCCGCGAAGGGGTCTACGAAGACGACGATGTCCTTGATGAATATCTTGTTGAGAGGTCTGTGGGAGCCGTCCGTCTGGACTGCTTCCATCTTGGAGAGCACGTCCTTGCCGTCGACTACGAGCCCGAAAATGGTGTGCTTTCGGTCCAGGTGGGGCGTCGCCTTGTAAGTGATGAAGAACTGGCTCGAGTTTGTGTTTTTCCCCTTGTTTGCCATGGACACTAGGCCAAACGACGAGCATGTGTCAGCGGATCTGCGGGGATGGAGCAAAAAATGATTAAAAATGATTAAAAAAAAAGCAACACAATTTTCTTGGTACTCACATATGCCCCTGCTGTTATGCGTCAACGGCCCGTCAAACTCGTCATTAAAGTACTTGCCCCATATGCTCGAACCGCCTTTGCCGGTTCCCGACGGATCACCCCCCTGAATCATAAAGTTGGCCATGTTCCGATGAAAGGCGACGCCCTTGTAGTAGCCCGTCTGGGCAAGCCTGATGAAGTTCCAGACTGCTCTGGGCGCCGTGTCGGTGTGCAGCTCGACGGTCAAGTCGCCCAGGTTGGTCTCCATGCGAGCGTAGCCCTTGGCCTTGACCCGCCTCGGCCTGAGCATGAACTCCTCGTCGGTCAACAGGGCCCGCTCGCCGCTGGTTTCTGGCGTCAGGCCCGTGCTCGTGAAGCTCGCGGCCGCTTTGCCCGTCGTGTAGGCAGCCGCGTTGGCGGCGAGCTTCTTGTCCTTGGTGACGACGCGTTGCGATGCCGCCGTGGCGGTCGACTGGCCTGTTGACGCGGCGGCGGCGGCGGATGGGTTTGCCAGAGCGCCAGAGCTGCGATTGACATCTCCTCCGGCTTCTCTTGCTTTGCGGGCCTTCTCGACGGCGGCTTTTGCCTTCAAGACCTTGTCTCCCATGCTGCCTAGCGCGCTGGCATTGATGCCTGATGCGTTGCGCTGCTCCTCCTCTTGCTCCTTGGTCAGCTGTGCCCCTTGTCCATCCTTGAGGTACTTGAATTGCTCGAGGTTTCGACTAGCGGCGTTCCTGGGGTCTTGCAAGGTGATGATGTCGGCTCGGCCGAAGGGCTGGTCGTCGACGAGGTCCTGCCACAGCTTGGGCTTGATGTTCATGCGCTCCACCGTCTCCCAGGCAAAGGCGTTGGCGTAGGTGCCATGGCGAATAGCCACAATGTGAGTGTTGTCGGTCAAGACCTTGTAGGTGACGGGATCGATCAAGTCACCTTTGGCGTCGCCGCTCGGTCCGGAGCTGAGGGGTTCGGAGCTAGCATTGCGGGCAAAGTTCAAGCGGATCAGATCCTTCTTGTGAAGCGGTTCGCCGTTGACGGGGTTCTGGTTCGGGTGTTTCTCCAGCCACGCGCCTATGACCTCGACGTCGAAGATGGTGCCGTCGGGCGTGCAGACTGGGTTCTTGAAGGGCTGGAGACTGGCGGCGCAATAGTTAAAGGGCAGACGACGGAACGGAGCAGCTCCAGACGCGTTCAGCGGCGAAGACTTGGCGCCCGCACTGGCGGAATAGGCATCCGACGACGACCACTCGGAATGCGTAATCTGCGGCGAGGAACGAAGGGGTTAGCAGGCGCAGCAACGCAGAGGCCAGACGCACGAGGAGGAGGAGGAGGAGGAGGGGGGGACAGGCATTGCGTCCTTACATAGAGCTTGTCGGTTCCCTTTCCCATAATTCCTGCTGAGACGTACTGGACGTGCTAGGAAGCTATGGCGAGGACAGCTATCCTGGTGAGCAAGCGAGTGGATGGTGGCTTCAACTTGAAGGTCATTGTCGGTGGTTCTTGCTGACCAATTTGCTCAGAGGAGGGAGTCGTGGATGGAGGCTTAAATTGGGCGACAAGGTGCCTAGCAGTCCACTGTTTAAGTTCCTTGTAGGGAGCGTACTAGTACTCAAGTAGGGAGTATTTGAGCCGCATTACGTCCACATGACGCTCGGCTTCGGCGAGACGTTCGTCTACCTCAATCTCCTGTACTACGTGAGGTAAGAATCCCCTTCCCACAGCGGTAGCGGTCGACGGGGCTCCCAACTTGCCGCCGCCGCCCCTGCTTACGCCTTGTCAGCACCCTCATGCTTCACCGCGAGTACTTCCCCTTCCTGCCGACCCCGGAGTCGGAGCCACGGGGTCCAGTCGACCAGCCCATGCTGGGGGCGCCCGCCCCCGAGGGCTGGTGGGACGACAGCTCCCGACTCCTCTTCGGCGCGGCAGAGCACATCGCCGCCATTCTACACGAGGCCTCCGAGTGTGGCGTGCATCTCATGACGCCCTTTGCCGGGTTCTGCGCATTCTCAGCCGGCTACCTCAACCTCTACGTGGCGAAATACCCCCGAATGAACCTGGGCCGCAGCCCGCGAGCAAGCGACTGTCTCAAAATGTGTCTCGACTACCTGGAAAAGTTTCGACTTGTCTGGAAAATCGCCGACGGATGGGTAAGCCGCCCGCAAGCATGACACGACCGTGGCCACCGTTGCGCTAACATTGAGAGGGCGGCACGCGCAAGATCAAAACGATACACCATGCATCCGTGCTCTACGAGCGAGCAACCGAGGACCGGACACGATACCAGGGGCGCACACGAGCAGACTTTGATACTCTACACCAGTCTGTCCACGAGTTCCGTGTCGTGGATAGATCCGACGCGCATACTCGGGAGATTCGGGGCGCGGAGCGGCCCTCGGCGCAGGCGACTTGGCCGGTTCAAGGGCACGAGCACGAGCACGAGCACGAGCACGAGCTCGACACTAATACCTTGTTGAACCAGCTTTTCGCGGAAGTCAGCAATAACCTCGACGAGCAGGGGGCCTGGTCTCAATGGTGGCCGGCGATTGATCAGGTGGATCTTTAATGAGCTGCGTAATTACATCCGGGGTTTTTTTTTTCGTTGAAGCTTCCAATGAATGAGTGACGACCTTTGATTTTTTTGATTTTTTTTTTAAAAAGGGCTGTAATATCTGGTTTTCTATACATGTCCTATTTTTATTTCCCGGTCTAGAAAAACAGTCAACAGATAATGCACCTCTTCATATGGCTCCCCTCCCGTCACCGCCAACAAATGCATACCTGTCGCGTCAACCATTCGCCGTTTCTCCTTCCAATCACGCCTTTGCAAAGACCTTTCTCGAGTTCATCAGGCGAACAGCAAGCATAAAGAGCATGCCGACAAAAGGCGCCACAACCACGCCAAGAGGACGTTTTTTGAAGCAGCTAAAAAGGCACGTAAATGGCGTCTGGATTCTGTACTAGATCTACTAGAAATTTGGGACGAGAAGGGTGTACATTATAGGCGAAGAGGTTAATAGCGTTATTAGGTTGAAAATTGGCCCGCCTTGGTGTCCGGCCCGCCTTGCTGTCGAGCACCACCTTTGGTGGTGAGGGCTTTTGCTAGCCGAACCACATAAAGTGGGGCGGGCACGATTAGCCCACTGTCTGCCCTCGTCAGTGGAAACAGCCACGTCTCCACGGCTTACTAATCATCCTCGACTTCTCCCACAGCAGCATGTCTTGGTTACCATGCAACACCAACACAGACGATCGCAAAACAGTCCTGCTGCCGTCGCTCGAGCCAAGGCGAGCTTATGCGATTCGCAATCCCGCACGATACTGGTATCGCGTCCCTACTCGCTGGAGCCTGCTCCGTCCTGCCGCCGCCTGGAGAGATGCTCACCAGATCCCGAAGCTGCCACCCGAGCTGAGGACTACGTACAAACCTCCCATACTTTGTTCTACCAGACTTGGATAACTAGTCCAATTCCTTTCGCATTGATAACCACCGACCCCATCAAGCCGCTACCGCACCGACACGGAACGATACCGAGTCCGAGGCGGCTACGTCGTCGTTTTTCTCCCTGCCACTTGCGCTTCTCGACAGGGGGATAGGGATTTGGCTTCTTCGTACTCCTTCGACCCTGCCATCGCAACTATCTCGCAGCATTTCTCAGTCAAGGTCCAACATGAGGCTCTCCTCCGGGATTCTCGCCTTGGGCTTGTCCTGCTGGACGACCCTGGCCCACGAGGTCACCATTGTGAGCTTGCGCAACATGCCATCTGCCTTGAGAACCCTACCCTGACGACTCTTGTTCCACGCCTGATAGGATGCTACGGATGCCAATCGTCAATATTGCTCTGGTTCGTAACCTCCTGGCCGTCGTCGCTTCGATTCGATTCATCTAACAAACTCTTAAAGGCATGTACAGTCGGCAGTCGTGGGGCGGATCTGTTGACCCATTCATTCAGGTCAAGTTTCTCAACTCTAGTATACCAGAAGGCACCGATCCCATCGTGAGCTTGATAATCTTCCAGTGGCGAGACAATAATCTTGTTGGCGTCCTTGATGCAGATGGCCAAAGAAGAGTATGACCCTTCCCTTTTCAACCTCTCAGTGCTGCGCTGCACCTCAGACGTTGGGAATCTATTTAACCATGTCTCATCAGCTACCGATTTGCACCGACGAGTTTGTCAATTCCGGCCACTGCAATAACACGGATATCGGCCAGTTTCTGGTCTCTCCCAATGCCACCGCAAAGTCAAACGCCCTCATTTTCACAAAAGCTGTCCACCTCAAGGACCCGGGCCCGCTGCGCTATTCCTTGAAAAAGACGGGATATTACTGTGTTGTGACACAAGGCTACACCGTCGACCGCTACAAAGCTATCGCTGAATTTCGAAATGCATACGGCGAACTGCAAGCAACCCAGATTCCCAAACTCCCTTTCTACGGCGCCATGTCCATCATCTACACGCTTATTACAGGATACTGGGGCTTTCTGTACTACCAGCATCGCCACGACATCTGTACGTCTCTGGTTACTGAGTATCTTCTCACAACATGGTGTTCGGTCACTGTCGTCTAACATCACCTGCAGTGGCGGTCCAAAACTATATCACGGCGATATTAGTCTTTCTAGTGGTGGAAATGCTCATCACATGGGGTTATTACGGTTTGTCCGGCCTGCAACTCTGAGCACATATAGGTGATTGTGTGCTCTTACTAATTATGCTACTAGATTTCCAAAACAATGGGGGCTCCGGCGTGGGATCCAAGGCCTTCCTCATTGTAGTTGGCATTCTGAATGCTGCACGCAACTCTTTTTCATTCTTTCTTCTGCTCATTGTGTGCATGGGATATGGTGTCGTCAAGCACACTCTTGGGCGGACCATGACCTATGTTCGATGGCTGGCGGCTGCCCACTTTGTCTTTGGTCTGGTCTATTCCATCACAAGTCTGGTTGTTTCGCCTGAAAGTGCCGGTATGTAGTGTCAAGGGACTAGAAAATTGTGCCGACTATTGAGCCGTCCCAAGGGATTCCCGCTAACCTGTCACGCAGGCCCGTTTGTCCTACTCATCATCTTACCTCTAGCCGGAACGTTGACGGCTTTTTACGTGTGGACACTCAACTCTCTCAATTTCACGCTGAAAGATCTGAGAGAGCGGAAGCAGCATGCAAAGGAGGCCATGTACAGAAAACTTTGGTGGTCCATTCTCGTCAGCATCATCATCGTCTTTGCCTTCTTCTTCTTCACAAGCTTCACCTTTGCCTCCATAAATGACCCCGAATTTGTTCCGAATCATTGGAAAACACGGTGGTTTATCCTGGACGGCTGGCTCAACATTGTCTACTTTGCAGACGTCGCATTCGTCGCCTACGTGTGGCGCCCCACCGCCAACAATCGCCGTTTTGCCATGAGTGACGAGATTGCTCAAGATGACGACGGAAACTTTGAGATTGGCGACATTGGCGTCCCCGATGACTGGGATGACGATGAAGAGGTCCAGACTGGGAAGGATCAGCCTCACCCTCCACCAGTCACGGGAATCACCGGTTCCGCCCTAAGTCAGCCAAACGGTCGTCAGCAGACCTCCTCGCGAAGCATCCCGCGGGAGTCCATTGACGGGGAGACAATCTTTGCTGTAGGTGAGGATGGCGACAGATTCTCAGATGACGGAAGTGACGAAGAGAATGCCAAGCTTGTACGAAATAAGTGATAGACTCAAAGAGGCGTTTGTTTTCGCGTTGGGACAAGGCATTGCATTGATTGCACCGGATGGAGGGGTCGGCCATACTTTCTCTACAGACTTCTCGTGGCTCCAATTTATTATTGTTGTATTGTGACCACCTAGCTCGAGCTTCTCTGGAGCCTGTGGCTCACATGAGTATATGGCCCAATCTTGCATCATAATTATACAATCGTGGCCATTCTCCGGCGCTTGAAGTTGCCGTGCTTCGTTCCGTGTCCTGCGGAAAGGAATTGGAACCAATGGCAAAACAGCCCTGTTTCTCGGAATAAGTGATTTTTGCAACGGGCGTTGACATCCTCGCCCGTAAAATCTTGGTCGTACACGTGTGTATGCCATGTACAAGTCGTCAAGTTGAATGGCCTAGCTTGACGACACGTCACCCCCAAATCCTACCGGGCGTCTCCGGCCATCATTTTCAGGCAGAATGGCAAGCGCCTTGTATACTTTGCCCATGCCGCTGGGTCCTCGATCGACAAGTCGCCTCCATGACCTTCTAATTCTGTCTGCTGTTGACTCATCCGTTCCGGCAGCCTTGATAAGCATTTCTGCCCGCTGTCGTATGCCCATGAGCTCGAGGAAGTCGGCTTGCGGCACCGGGCCGTGGACCTCAACTCCGTCGCTGGCCAGGGTCGCAGCCTCGGCAATGGCTGTAAAGTCCACATCGGCGCTCAGGTCTACGAGGCCAGGGGCCGAGAAGGGGCTGACATGCGTGTGGTGTCGGATACCTCTCAGCGAGTTGATGGGTACGGTGTCGGATGTGCCGTAGTCCAGAATCAGAGCAGCGCCACATGGTTGCGGCTTCTTTACCTCGTCGGAGCCACCGATGCGGGTGGCAAAGTCCGCGGCATACAGAGAGGCGTCGGGGCAGATTTCGACTACAGATCCTGGGGGCTGCTTGAGATGTCGGTATCTCGGGGACGACTCGGGGAGGTAGCGAGAATGTCTGGTGGGCTTGGACGAGAGAATGAGCTGGAATTCTGCGGCGGAAGCGGCCGTTCCAGCAGGCTTTGCCTCGGCATGATTTGGAGCAGCCTCGGCTGGGGGCGTGGGCGAAACCATCATTTCTCGCCACTCGCATGTTGGCGGCGGGTTTACGTGCGTTGAGGGAGGGCGGGAGATTGATGTCGTCCTGGGAGGTGATGCTGGGGCCAGGACTGACTGGAAGCAGTGAATCGGAAGGGCGTCGAAAAACTCGTGGGCCACAATGAATGGCACTTTGTTGGACTCTACCAACCAGGTTGGTTACGACAGGACATGTGGAAAAGGGCAGACGGACGCAGGGGTTGGACTTACCAATGGGGATTGACTTGAGGCTTTCAGCCCATATGACAGGCTTTCCAGAATACTTTTCTGCGCTTCGGAAACCAGCTTCACAATCCTCAGATGCGGTATCGGAGCCGCAGAGCAGCTTCTTCTGCTTCTCCCGAAGCTCTGGACTTGCCTCGACCATGAAGACCGACTCGATGCTGTCTCTCATGGCTGGAAAGCGCTTTATAGTCTGGAGAAGAACTTGTTAGGGCCGCAGGTACAATGTCCTGTTGGTGGTGAAATGAGGCAAGCAATGGCAAAAACGAGTCTGAAAGCCGACTTGATTGATGCAGACTTACTCGCAACATATCATCCATGAGAGTCCCGCGGCCAGGTCCAACCTCGATTAACTGGACTCCCTGTTTAGGCTGGCCCTGGCTGATCCATTCGGCAATAAACCACAGGCCGACCAGCTCACCGAAGATCTGGGAGATTTCAGGAGATGTGACGAAATCTCCCTTGACGCCAAACTGGTCGCGATCCTGGCCGATTGAAGCGGTGTAGTAGCCTCCCAGGTCGCCGGTCAGACACATGCGCATGTAACTCGCCAACGGCACTGGCCCCGTTGTCTACGGAGCTATTAGCGATGGGCTTGATGGCAGGACGTCCAGCACAGGCAACTGAGGCCAAGGCGTTTTCGTGAACTGACCGAGATGGCTTCAAAGAGCTGCTTTGCCAACGGCGTTGACCATTGCCTCTCGTGCCGGAAACAAGAAGGGGACGCTGAAAAGCTCCTCCTGGAGGGGGAGATTGGAAATTTCGAGGTGGCACATCGACGTGAGATGCGCTGCAGACCCCGGCAGGTGACGGCAGCCGATGATATCGGGGTCATGGAGGTGTCATGGAGAGGCCGAGGCCACGGCCGTTGTTGCAAGCCGAGGTCGACGCTGAGAAAAGCCAAGGTAAAAAGCGAGCTTCTGACGACTTGCTTCGTTGCCGTGGCCTGCGCTTGGCGGCGTGGGTGCGGCTACGAGATAGGACCGTGCTATGTGTTGAGGTTGAGGTTGAGGTTGAGGTCGTCGTCCGAGGCATAATATAATATTAGTCACCCTGGAGTCCTGGACCAACCTCCAACCTCCAACTTCCAAGGCTCCATCCATCCAACACAGCTTCGCCGCCCCGCGCCCGCGTCCTTTCCATCACTCCTTTACCCTTCCATTCGGCTTTCCTCATCCCCACCGCTCCCCCCGACAAATGCCAGCCATGGGTGTTTTCCAGTGACCAATTCCCCGAGTTTTGCGCCCCCCAGACCCAGACGAGCAGGCCAGGCCTAGCCGAAGCGCAAAACGACACTTCACTCGCTCTCATGGCCAGCAAGGCAAAGTCGAGGTGGGCAGACACGGCAGAAGACGCCAAGTTGGATGCAAGGCTGAAGCAGGAAAAGGAAGAGAAGCGTCGAAAGAAGGCGGAGAGGGCGCGTAGGATTGAGGCGGACAAACAAACCGCCCTTGCGTCGTCTTCTCGAGGTGCAGAGTCCGGTCGCGGCGACGACGACGATGCCGGCAGACCGTCCAAACGACGCAGACTCACCCCCGAGGCCCAAGCCAGGGAGACCGTCGCCGCACAAGGAACCGCAACCAGCAATGGCAACGACCCTACACCGGTAAAGCTCCTGCGGTTCGAGGACACGAGGACTTGGGGCAAAAGTCGCAGCGTCGACAACTACGACAAGCTCAACGACATCGAAGAAGGCACATACGGCTGGGTCGCAAGGGGGGCAGAGCGTGCGACTGGGAAAATCGTGGCCCTCAAGAGACTGAAGCTGGAGCCTTCGGATCGAAACGGTCTGCCGGTGACGGGGCTCAGAGAGATCCAGATCCTGCAGGACTGCAAGCACCGCAACGTCGTGCGCCTAGAGGAGGTTGTCGTCGGCGAGGACACTTCCAAGCTGGACAAGTGAGTCTCGTCTGCTCCCCCGATATTCCTACGCACGCCCACCGCGCGGCTTCACGCAGCGGCGGCACAAGAACGAATTCCCCGACCTAACGCCGCGTCCCCCCAACAGCTCCATATTCCTCGTCCTCGAGTTCGTCGAGCACGACCTCAAGGGCATCCTGCAAGACATGCCCGAGCCCTTCCTCTCCTCCGAGGTCAAGCGGCTGCTGCTCCAACTCACATCGGGCGTGTCCTATCTCCACGAGAACTGGATCCTCCACCGGGACCTCAAAACATCCAACCTCCTCCTGAACAACCGCGGCCTGCTCAAGATTGCCGACTTTGGCATGGCCCGCTACGTCGGCGATCCACCCCCCAGACTGACCCAACTCGTCGTCACCCTGTGGTACCGCGCTCCCGAACTGCTCCTGGGAACAAAGACGTACGATGCAGCAGTCGACATGTGGAGCGTCGGCTGCATATTCGGCGAGCTCATCACGTGCGAGCCCCTGCTCCAGGGCTCCAACGAGGTCGATCAAATGTCCAAGATTTTCGAGCTGTGCGGCGTGCCGACCGAGGAATCCTGGCCCGGGTTCCGGACGCTTCCCAACGCGAGGAGCCTTCAGCTCCCCAAGAACGCCCTCACCACCGGGTCCGTGGTGCGCGCGCGGTTCCCCAGCATGACCGCCGCCGGGGCGAGCCTCTTGAACGACTTGTTGGCTCTGAACCCAGGCCGGCGGCCGTCGGCAAGCGAGATGCTCGACCACGAGTACTTCCGGCAGGATCCTAAACCAAAGCCCGAGAGCATGTTCCCGACGTTCCCCAGCAAGGCAGGCCAGGAGCGGAGACGTCGACATGAGCCGAATGCGCCCGTCAGAGGACAAGCAGTCGCCCTGGGAGACGTTGACCTGAGCGGCATCTTCCAGGGACGGGACAAGGAAGCGCGTGGAGCTGGCTTCACACTGCGGATGGTGTGAACCAAGTCGGGACTCGAGTCCCAAGTCTTCGTGCCCGGCAAACGGTCGAGTCTCTTCTTGGCTTGGGTCTGCTCCATCTTTACTCCGATACTTCAGACAGTATTGTGCGCGCGGTGGACTCGGGTGGTGCTGGGCGCTAGGAAGGCAGAGACACATTGTCGGAAATGTCAATTCAGATGTCATGATTGAGGCGCATACCTCGCAGAATAGACGGCTGAAATATGAAGAATTAATTAATGCACCCAGCATCGATTCAACATGTATTACACCAGGTCCAACTGTCCCCGTCATGAATCAGTACACCGCAAGCCCAATTTCCAATGTAATAGATGGTGATAGTATATGTGAACTCGCCCCTTACTTCTTTCCTGCCAAGTAATGCGGCTTAGATTCTCGTTGCCTAGCCAAAAGAGTGCCCCCAAAACTAGAATATGTGTGTATGAGAAACGGTAAATCAGGCCCTCAGCTTAAATTCTCATTCCACGTGTTCCAAAAAACGCCGGGCGCCACGCAAGTCTGTGGCGGCTACGAATGGAGACGGCTTCCGTCTTCAAGCCCTGGCGAGTACGGTCGGCCTTGGCCGTCGTAAATAGCACTCCTTGACCAACATTGGCAGTGCGGTAGATGCAGCAATTCGTTTCTCAATGTAATCCCAAGCCTGCAACAAACCAGGTAAAACTCAGGAACGTCAGCACGCTCGTGAGAATAGCAAGACCGATGGCTTGACGGTCAGAAGCCGACAAGGCGGCGCTGCACATTCCCGAGCAGCTCCAGTCGGCATAGGGCGTGTACGGCTGGCCAGTGTACATGCCGAAGGAATACTGGGCATTGGCACCGAGACTGCCTGCTGCGGGGAGCTCGGTGATGCTAGCGTCGGAATCCTTGACGATCAGGGTGTACTGCTGAACACCCAGAGGTTTCTGGACATCGTTGGCTTGGTTCTTGGAGTCCCACACGTAGTAGACGGCGGTTTCAAAGGACATGTTGCTGGTCAGGGTCCAAGTCTCGCTTGCCGCGGAGCAGCTGACAATGATATCGATGGCAGATGGGGTCGCCAGGAGCGAGGTGTAGTTCCAGGACCAGGTTATGTAGTCGCTAATCTTGTACAGCCCACTAGGCTGCAGATTAGTATTGGGTGTCTGTATGCTGATGCCGGCTGGCGGGGCATCCGGGGGAAACTGGGTGCGAGTCGAGTTTCCCTTCTTGGCTCCATTGGCAATGGTGCCAAGCTTTCCGGTCGGTGTCGCCTTTACGGTATTCGAGTCGCCAGTTGTTTTGTCGGCGGGTTGGGAACTGCCAGGGCCCGTCGTAGAGGCCGGCGCATCTGCCGGGGTTGTTTGGGAGGCTGCCTTCTCTGTGGCTATCGCAGTCCGGAGTTAGTGGGAAAGAACAATAGAACACCAGCAGAGACAACGCCGGTAAGCGGCAAGCGTGATTGCAGAACGTACCGGAAGCTTGGGCAGCATCAGTGGTGCCATCAGCTCGTACAATCAGAGCATCCCGCTCGGGTAGCCATCGCGGCCATTCTGATGCTGAAGCAACAGAGCCACAGGCAGAAAGGCACAGAGCCAGTTGCACCAAGGACTGGGCAGGACGCATGACTAGTGCGTGTGTGATGGATGTGGAGGATCGACCAAATGAAACGAAGCTGCAACGGCCGAGCACGAACGACGCCGGATGAGTCTCGCCGTCGTTGTCCTTGCTTCTTTTACGCCCTCTTCTTTCCTGTCATGGACAGAGGCGGCGGTTCAAACGGTTGAGGCGACGGTTGAGGCGACGGTGACAACGGCGGGTGGGAACAACGGCCTGGCCGTTGGTCAAGGCGGAGCAGAGGTTGGCCGGCGCAGGAGGACGGGGGCGGCACGCGAACGTCGACGAAAAAAAGGTCAATCGATGGAAAAGCAAGTGCAGCAGGCAAAAATAAGATAAAATAGGATAGAAAGCGAGAGACAATGAGAGAGAAAGCGAGAGAGAGAGAGCCAGCGAGCGGAGTCGTCGGAGTCGTCGTCGTCCTCTTTTTTCCTAGGAGCGTGGGATGGATGGAGTCGACAGACAGGGGAGGCAGAGGCTGGCTGGCTGAGCGGAAGAGAACAGAGGCAGGCACGACGACGCCGGCGACGGAGGGTTCGTAATAAATCTCCTCATCGCTGGGGGCGACCAGGCTGGTACGTACCGGGCGGTGTCTGGTGTGTGGGCAGTGACATGTGTGGTGTGGTGCCCCTGACGGCTCTTGGCCCTTGGCGGTGGTGCCACTGCCGCGCGCGCTGGCCGTGCTGCTGCCCGCTGCCTGGTGGTGTTCACTGTTGCTGTTGTTGACACTGCGACCCGACCTGACTGACGAATGCATCCGCCATCCACCCCGGAACGAGCCAGGCGATGCGCTTGTCTCAAACAGGTGTAGCTTCATCGCACGTACGGAGTACAGTAAACTATGTCTATAACAATCCTGTATCTTAGCGATATTTAGGCTTTTACAATAATTTATAGTTATCTAAGGTTTTTCCCTAGTAAATTATTAATAGTTGTATTACTAATAATATTATTAACTTTTTGCTTAGTTACTATATATTTTAGTATTTTATTATTATTAAGCTCTTACTATAAGCGCTAAATTTTGCTGCTTTTAATATATTTTTCTTTCTTTAATATTACTACAATAATGCCTCTATTTATTATAATATTATAAATTTAACTTCTTTTATTATAATTTCTTAAGTTATATATAAGTAGATACTAATTAGTTATTAAGAAAGGCAAATTATATAATAAAAGTATTATAAGAATTTCCTTTAGCAATAAGTATAGCTCTAGTAGTAAGCTTATAATAAATTTAATTAAAACTTCTCTTAATTTATAATATCTAAGTTAATTAATATATAATATAATTATATTAATATTAAAAAGCTTTTAAATGCCTAAAAACACTATTAAGCAAAATATTTATTACTTAAGTTAGCTCTCTTTAAATTAATAACTTAATTAAATAACTTTAGTTATATTATTACTAGTAAGATTATTACTAGTTTTATAAGATAGCTTTAGGAGAAGATAAAAGACTTTAATAGCTTAAAGACTTCTTTATTCTCTTAAGAATAAGTTAATAGCTTTAAATTATACTTTTATATTAGAAAATATAAAATTAATAGCAAAAGTAAGTCTACTAATACTTTTAATTCCTCTTAAGACCTTACTATAATATAAGAGATAAAAAGATAGTACTTAGATAATAATACTTATAATATAAATAAAATTAAGCTTTTTTAGCATAAAAATCCCTTATATATACTAGTAATAAGTCTATAAAAGAGAACTAAGTAAGATAAAGCTTATATTATAGTTTTACTTTATACTAATATATCTAGAACTTATTAGCTTAATCTTTAAATTATTAGTAAGTTTAAAAACCTATAATATTTTAGTAAAAATAATAGTAAAATTACTATCTTTCTAGTATACTATTAAAGTAATATAAAGAGCTAGATAAACTTTAATATATTTCTTAAATAGCTATAATAGTTTAATTAATAAATAAGCAGCTATTATATTCTTCTTCTATTAAATAACTTTAGCGCCTACTAATATACTATAAATAAAGCTATTCTTATAAATATTTTTACTAATATAATAGTTGTTTTTCTTCTAGTAAATATAATAAGCTTATATTAACTAATAAACTAAGGAATTATTAATAATCTTAAGGTTTACTATTAAAAGTAGTAGCTATAGTTTATAGCTAAATTAGCTTTTTAGAATATTAACTTAATACCTTAATTAACCTTATTAAAAGCTATTATATAGCTTATATATATATAGTATAATAGTATAAAAAAAATACTATTACTAATTATTAAAGGAAGTTAAAGCTGCTTAGTAATATTTATAGCTATAAGCACTAGCTAAAGAATTAAAATAAAAGCTATTAGTCTCTTCTTACTATAGTATATAATATTTATATTTAAAGTATTATAAATATTAGAAATATTATTAATAGCAACCTTAATAACTTTATTAAGCTCTTCTATAAGTATATTAATAAGAGCTATAATAACTTAATTAATAATATTATAGTAAGGTTTTTATAAGTCTATTTTCTTAATTTTAAAGACATTAATAAAGAACTTAAACTACTAGTAATTACTATATAAAAAGTATTTAAAGTAATTAATAAATTAATTCTCTTTAAAGAATAATATAAATTTATTAATTTTAAGCTTTTTTAATAGCTTTAATAGTATTAAAGGTAGATTTAGTATAATTAGCAGGAAGCTTATAAAGCAGTAAAGAAATAATAATCTCTTAATATATACTTTATAATATTCTTAAGTATAACTGCTTAGTAAATTTAATTAAAGGTATAAGCTTTATAATTATTACATCTTAATAATAGTTGCTATATTACAATAAAAAAAGGCTCACAAAGGTTATCGTTATAGAGGTAGTTTACTGTAGTAGTACTAAATTAGAAACTGCAGTCCGCCCCACAATAATACATGCGAGAGGCTGCGAGCCGGGCGACCTGGGGTGGAAATGGTAAATGGCCATTTGTTCGTTTCCGGGCCAGGCAAGCACATGACTAGCTTGAGTCGGTGATGATCTCTGTGGGCGACACTGCACCACCGGCGACCACCACCAGTGTGTTGCCGCCCGCAGCAAAAATAACGACAAAACCAGGCTGGACCGGGTGGCGTGGGCGTGGGCGTGGGCGTGGGCGTGGGCGTGGGCGTGGTGGTGGGCGGCCACAGACGCCGATACGGTGCACGTGACCTCGTGTTCTGGCCTCGACCCTCTTTTGACGTCCCAAGAAGCTCACTTTCCGACGGGCAAATCCCTGCAATTTGCCTGCCTCACTCTCTCTCTCTCTCTCTCTCTGCCGCCGCTCAACATCCCTGCAATTTGCCTGCCTCACTTCACTCTCTCTCTCTCTCTCTCTCTGCCGCCGCTCAACCAAGCTGGCCGTTGCGAGACCCTTTTTTCTTAAATGTGTTATGCGAGCATCCGCCATGAAGTAGTCGATGACGGTGTGCTTACTAACCTCCAGGTACCCGTCACCTGGCTCTCCGTATCCCGAACGGCACTTCAGCTAGGCACGTACCAGTTATGTAAGCGACCGACGGTGCCCGACTTCATCCTGTAACCTATGCAGTATACAGCATCACGGCCAGTTGCGCAGGCGCACAGATTTTTCTGCAGATGAATCAGGATACTGTTCGTGTACCTAGAAACCCGGGTGCGCCGTAAATCTTCAGAGCTCCCGCTCGCCATCTTGACTACGTACGCACCAGAGCCATGTCAGTCCCACGGTGCTCTCGAGTCCTCGCCGTGCAAAGTAGAGTCGTTTATTTGAGCCCAACGTAGTCTTACCCCTGCCCCGTTGCGTCGTTGTCCAACAGATTGCGCAATCGGTTTTGCATTCGCTCACTCGTCTATTTCTTCGAATCTCTTCTTCTTCCAACAACAGGACCCCATCCTTCAAGTTGGCCTTGCGCGTCTTGGCCGTGTCTTCTGCGTATGCACGTGAGCGTCAACAGCTGTCAGTTGCCCTGTTTGTAAAGCCATCTGGCAACTGGAGCCCAACTTGGCCATCTCTTTAACCTACGTTCGCCTGCTTTGGTTTTTTTTTGTTTCTTGTTTTTCTTGGCTTCATTCATCTCGACTTTTACGTCTCCCTCTGTCTGTCCTGAAGCTGCTACTTCGCGGCCACCAGGCCGTTTCGCAACTTCCACATGTCAGCAGTACGTGTACAGCTCCTCAGCGTCGGCAGCGCCGCTCAATACAATCCCAATTAACCTCCTGCCTGCTCATGGTCTCGAGCTACCTCCTAGGTACGTAGGTTACAGGTAGAAACCCCAGACCTTGCTGAGGTTTATATAAACAAGCTGACCCTGATGCTTCGTCCCAACTTCCAAGCATAAAATGTCTCTCCCTGCCGCAGACCCCGGATTGGGGTTCCCCGTCCTGCAAATTACTCGAGATGAATATGCGAGTCTTGTGAGGTCCGCTCAGCAGTATGGTCAGCAATTCTCCCCAACGCCTCAGTCACTCGTTCGAGTCGTCCCCTCTCGGTGTTGACTTTTGGGCCATGCTCTCTTAGACACCTTGTGCCGCAATCTTCTCAACGGTGGAGTGCAAAGAGAAACAATCGAGGTATGCAGAATGCCCGCTTCCCTCTCCTCCTCCTCCTCCTCCTCCTCCTCCTCC